AGCGCAACACTTGTTGCAGGTAAACGCAGAAGGAGAAGACTCTGTGACCTCTAGTGATCAAGACTAGGGTAAAAATCTGCCGAAGTTCCCCTTTAACCGTTGTGGTTCATTCTCACTGCTCATATCACCCAGTTTCCATCAGCCGCGGTTGTTTTTTAGAAAACAAGTTCTGATAAACCTGCAACATGCTACCTGCCCAGCACTAAAAAATACACAATAACTTAGCTCCTAACCAGTGAACATGGTGGATTTAGCAGCCATAGAGCTGGATATTTAACCTAAGGACTTGTCAGATGGGAGGATTAAGGAGGTGCAGACAAAACCAGGGGTAAAAGAAGAGTGAATATTGGACTACTGGAGCTAATATTGGCCAGAAACGTGACCTTAGGTTCATAGGATGCCCCATGTATGCTAGGTGTGTAATGTGTGTGTATTTTAGGTTGACTGGTAAAGAAGTCTTTTATTTCAACAATGTATCATCTTTCTTTTGATCTCATTTACATTATTACGTATTTTTTTTAAAGGCAATACTGACACTGGTAGAAATGTTCAGTCCATCAAGGTAAAATCAGTTTTCTGTGTGTATGTGTGTGTTTGTGTGTGGTTTCATGCAGATGACTACACACTCCATGTCCAAGTCTCCAACCTGTATGACAACGTTGACACATCCATGAAGATAATCGTCCGCCCTCAGTTAAATCGCCTCCTCATTTCCTCGTCCCTTCCCGTGCCCATTGTCAAACAGACCCTCCTTCTGGAAGCTTCTGCAGAGCCCTCCACCTATGCTGTCACCTACACATGGGACTTTGGCGACGACTCTGAAGCTGTCCAATGTATCCACCATAATGTCAGCCACACTTTTGCATTTGCAGGGGTCTATAATATCACAGTGTGTGCAAACAACACTCTTTCAGCTCTGACCACCTGGCTCATGGTGGAAGTCATGGAGAAAATCTCTGGATTAACGGTCAGCTACAGCGGACCCAGTGAACTAAACTCTGCTACAGATATCAGAGCTATGGTGGTCACTGGTACACGTCTCAAGTGGAATTTTGACTTTGGTGATGGGTCCCTGCAGGGAAACCTGACAGATGGTTCCATCTCCCACATCTATAAGTCGCCAGGAAACTACATAGTTGACGTAACTGTCTCGAATTCATTCAGCCAAGCCCATCAGTCTATCAGTGTAGAGGTCTATAGGTTGGCTGTTAGTGGAGTCCTCCCTACAGAATGCATCATGAGTGTAAGAGACATAGAGTTTAACGCTCTGGTGAATGGGAACATATCCATTCTGACTTTCCATTGGCTGTTTGGAGATGGATCACCTCTGACTGTAGTGAGGGGACAGTCAACAGCCAGGCACAAATTTCAAAGCCATGGGATTTTTCGTATTAGTCTGACTGTGTTTAGTTCTGTTACATCTGTATCATTTAATACGAGTATCTACGTCGAAGCACCAATAACCAACATGACAGTGCAGTCATCACAGGAAGTAGTGGCAGTAGGAGAAGAGGTATGCTTCAGGGTGTTAGTTTTCCCTGAACAGATGACAGGTTACCAATTTAAGTGGTTCAGCAACCCCTCTAGTGTCATTGCCATGACAGAAAATGCTCAAAAGTGTTTTATCTTTAAAGACGAAGGTGTTGAAGAGGTATCAGTGACAGCAAGTAACAAGGTCAACAACCAAACAGCCAAAGCTAGTATTACCATTCAAAACCCTGTAAGTAAGCTGTCTGTGGTGCATGATACTCAAATAGACACACTGACAGTCAATACATTAGTATCATTTTGGGTAGCCAATTGCACTGGTAGTAATGTGTCAGTGCTGTGGGACTTCGGAGATGGCTCTCCAGTTGAGCAAACACATAACGTGTCACATGTCTTTACCTCGACTGGTCAGTTCACAGTCACCAGCACAGCATTTAATGCTGTTAGCAGGGATTCTGTGACCCTTACAGTGAATGTTTTACTTCCTGTTTCAGACCTTTCACTTCACACCAATCAGCCATATGCTGTAGTAGGAGAAGAAACTCTTATTTCAGCAATTAGCAGTGCTATCAGTAGCACTAACTACTACTGGACTGTGGATGGTATGACCTCAACCAAACAGGGGACATATCAGTTTAGATTTGTGTTTCTGAAACCAGGAGTGTATCAAGTAAGGGTAATAGCACAGAACCTGGTGAGTAGAAAGGAGGCAGCTATTCTAATAGAGGTATTTGAAAGAATAGAGGGTCTTCAGATTGAATGTCAGAGCCTGACAAACATGAAATATGTACCAACCCAAGAGGAACTGCTGTTTATTGCTTCAATCACTAAGGGCTCCAATGTCACTTATCACTGGCTTGCTATGCAGAGCGGAATAAATCGCCAAATTACTGGTATTGAAGAGCTTTTTCATATCTTAGCTGAAACTCCTGGTGGGATTTCAATTCATCTAAGAGCTTCTAACAAGTTGGGTGAGGCAACCAGCATTGTTTCTTTAGTGGCAGTACAGCGTCTAACAAGTGCACACATTACAACACAATCAAACATTGTGGCATTAGGGAAAGTAGTGAACATCTCTGTATCCGTGGTTGCCGGGTCAGACCTACAGTACTTTTGGTATGTGAAATCTGATCTTTCACCACTGCAGACACATGTACCCTTTCTTCACCATACTTTCACAAATTTGGGTCATTGTCTTGTCAAAGTTTCAGTTCAGAATGTCCTCAGCCACAGCAATGCCTCAAAAGAGTTTAATGTTCAAGAAGAGATCCAAGAGGTGGACTTTAAAATTGAAGGAAAGACAAATCCATTTTATATTGCCGCAAGTGCTGCTGTTCCACTCCATGGACTTATTCGTGAGGGTAGCGATCTGCACTGGAATTGGAAAGTTAGAGGTGCCAAAAGCATGCTTTTTAATGCCCCTAATAGGACATTTAACTACACCTTTCCACACGCAGGCATCTATCAGGTATCTTTGAATGTTTCCAATGGGATAAACTGGCAGATGGTTTCACACATTGTCACAGTCCAGGATGTAATCAAAGGTCTAATGCTGAACATTTCTAAGTCTTCTTTCTGCACAGAGGAACATGTTACTTTTATACCAACAATCTCCAATGGAAGTAATGTAAGCTTTGCTATAACATTTAGAAACAAAGACTGGATTTATAGTCAGGGCATTCTCGAGGGCCAGTTCACCACATCAAACCTTCTAGCAGGGACACATGAAGTTACAGTTAAAGCTTGGAACCAGGTCAGTAGTGCTGAGGTGTCTTCCAGCTTTCTGGTCACTGAGCATATTCAAGGTTTGGGGCTTGTGAACTGTTGTTCTACTGCTCTAGAGGCTCTTAAAGGAATACAGTTCAAGGCAGAAATTCAAAGTGTACTTCCAGTCAATTACACCTGGACATTTCACTTAGTGGGATCTGAGCCCACATGGCTCATGGGACAAGAAGTGATCTTCACTCCACCTGAGAGCGGTTTATTGTCTGTTAGCGTGCTAGCCACCAATGGAGTCTGCTCCATGATGGTAAATGACACTGCTATAGTTCAGTGGCCTGTTAAGACAGTAAAGCTTGTCTGTCATTTAGACAGAATATTCATTGGACATGCTGCCATGTTTTCTACAAAAGTGAATGGAGGGAGCAACCTCAGATACATCTGGGACTTTGGAGACTCTACTGAAGAATTAGTGACAGACTTAAGCACAGTCAGTCATACTTATTATATTCCTGGGAAATACAGTGTTACAGTCACAGTTCTCAACAGTGTCAGCCATGTGTCCACACAGTTATACATGAAGGTAGAGGAGCCCCAGTGTTCCAGCCCCCAAGTCTCTCTTGTCCAGAGCCAGTCTACTATCTTCAGGTCAAGGACAAGTTTTTTTGAAGCAAGCGTTGACATTAACTGCTCTGCTTACAAAACCACATACCTATGGGAGATACTCAAAGAGTCCAATTGTACCAATGCCAACTCTGGGAACAACGTCATTCTTAGAAGTCCGGTAGATGCAACTTCACCTATTCTCTTACTCCAAAAGCATACCCTCGATACGGGACAGTATTGCCTGGTATTCACTGTTTCACTCCAGGGAACCCCTCTACTTGTCAAACGAAAAACCACCATCACAGTGGTCCATTCCCCACTGGTAGCTGTCATCAAGGGAGGCTCACACAGACTGTGGCCCAGCCTCAGTGACCTAGTCCTGGATGGCTCTGAGTCCCAAGACCCTGATATAGAGCCAGAAGTAGAAGATACACTCCAGTATCACTGGACCTGCATGACAGTGGTAAAGGCCTCTTAATGTTAAATCAACTTTATTGTAAGGAAAAGTATATTAACTGCTATCATTATAGGTTGTATAAGATAAGAAATGAATACAGAATTTGAAAGCAGCAAAAGTGGTAATTCTTCGATACACAGTCATCTCCCTACTTGAGATCTATGTAGGTATTACTAACTCCTGGGTGTTTGTATTTTCAGAACTCCACAGAGTCTAATTTTTTAAATCATCCCTTTGGGAGTAACAGCAGTAGAATGACTGTACTCAGCACACAGCTGCACCCAGGCACAATCTACATTTTCACCCTCACTATACACAAGGCAGGGAGGAGACCTGTCTCTGTCAACCAGACAGTGAGTATTATCCATAATCTAACTCCATTATCACATAAATGCATGCTTTATCTCTTTAAAATCAATGTATTTTTCTTGAACCAGCAGCAATAGAAAAGCTATATGAAGTTATGTTCAGTATCTCTTGCAAATAAATTGTTTTGGAGACTGTGGAAGAACTTACTTGAATTTAGTCAACACTTCACATACCTCTGTTCCATATCTTTAGGTGACTGTGTGTGAAGCTCCTGTGCTTCCGGTGATTGTGGAATGTGTGTCCTGCTCTGTCCTGTCCTCCTCTTACCACATTAGTTACACTACCCCCATCATATTCTCAGGACAATGTGGACAATGTGACGACCAGGCTCAGGTAATGATTCCTTTACTAACTATCAGTTTGTTTTTGTGTAGAATCATTATTCAAGTAGAATTTCATAATTTTTTGTGCAGACTTCTGTTAAATAGTGGTTTAATGAACAAAATGCAAATGTTGGAAGTAAAACCAAAGATAATAGCATAAGACAAAACATTTATTATAAAACGTAAAAGGTAGTACAAGTGCAAAGAGGAACTATCCACTATCTGTGCTCCCTCTGCTGCAGTCTCTGCTGTTATTCATTATTGTATTAATTTGGTGTTTATCTGCTTAGAGAATTAATTTGTGATTGGACACTTTAATCTATATTGAATCTTAGCAATGCTTAATTAGGTAGATGAACAATGAACAATACAATGGTTTGTTATTTGCAGCCAAGAAATATACAAATGTACACAGACAATAAGCCATTCAGTGTTATTATGATTCATGTATCTGTCTTCTCACAGTACAAATGGAGTGCAGCAGACCAGACTGGCATGACCCTTGACCTTGACAAGGTTTCCACCACTACAGGGGGACAGTCTCCTAATTTGGTGGTGCGTTCAGGTGTCCTGCAGGCAGGGAAAAGTTATACCTTTACTCTCAATGTATCCCAGCCTGACATTGAGCAGTGGGGCAGCGCCAGCCTTACCGTACTACCTAACAATCCACCACATGGAGGCCTCTGTGAGCTCAGTCCAGAGTCAGATATTCGTCTGCTGGAGACAGTGGTCACCTATAACTGCTCAGGTAACACTGTAGAAATAGTGAAAGTTTTTCAAAATCCAATTTGCATCAAAACCTTTAAGCAGCTTTTTGATTGGACAAGCCAAGAGAGTAAATGCTTTGAAAATTTGATTGTGTTTCGCTAACATCTGTTCTCTTTTGGCAGGGTGGCAAGGTAATGAAAGCAGTGCCTCTCAGCTGATTTATACCTTCCAGGTAGCACCATGCCAGCTCGTTGGCATGGTGTGCCCCCTGCTCACTCTGTACAGGTGAATATAGGCCTTAACTTACAGCTGTTAATAGACAAGGAAGTGTGATCCTGACATGAATGTTAAAAAACATCAGGTTTGGATTTGCTGAGTTTTTTATGTCTTAATTTCTCTCCTTAGGGGTACCCGTTCAACATTTGGCAGCTTGGTTCCAATGGGAAGTCCTGAGCAAAAAAGAAACATGTCAGTTATCACAGTTACATTGCTGGTAGAAGACTACTTGGGTGCAAAGGTTGTTGCTCTGAACAGGTAAGACATCACAATTCTGCTTGTTGTTATATGCCACACTTTCCACCATATTTTATTTTTCTATCAACTTTTATGTTATGTTATTACATGCTATGCCAAAGTTTGTCTTGCCATGTTTTAGTGAGCTCAGTATTACTGGTTGCTCATTTCTTCAGAATGTTAACAGTTGAACATCCAGCAAGGGATAGAGCTGCCAGTCAGTGGCTCAGAAACAAGAGCCAGACTGAGCTGTGGGCTTTAGTCCAACATGGCAACCCTCAAGAGATCATTCCTTATTCCATTGCCCTCACCAGCCAACTCAATCAGGTACCGGTTAGCATCATAACTCATTTGCCAGTGCATGAAATTACGCTTGATTATGATTAAATAGCTGTCATCCATAACAGAATAATTGAAGATTATGAACATAGATGGATGTGAGAATCTCGAAAGGTTTGCATTTGGTTGGAATACTGACTAATAAGTTTCACCCACCCATCCACAGATGGAGTCGGGATGGACTGCCGGGGAGCTCATGGACAGAAGGGAGATCCGGGAAAATGTGACCCAAGCCTTGGCCTCTCTCCCCGTGTCCTCCTTGTTGGATGTCGACCAGATCAGCTCAGCACTGTCACAGTCTACTGTAAGTAATCGCCTAGTTTGCTTTCTGATCATTCTCAGCTCAAAAATATTTAACAAGCGATTAGTAATATTGAAAATGCTTTAGAGGACAGCTGCTGGGTATCAAACATATGGAGACATTTAATCCATTCTCATATTGGTGCCTGCAGTAATTCATGACAAAGACAAACAAAAACCGAACGGCCATTTCACACAAGAGCATAACATCATACTTCATTCGCATTATTTTCTAAATTTACATCTTTCAAGCATTCATTCTGTAAAAAAAAATCTTAATTTTCTGTTTTCCCAAGGCTGTTCCTAGTGAATTGGTATGTGAAAACTGCCAGGAGAAGGTTCTGGAAGCTGTAAGGAAGATGATCCATGTAATGGAGGAACAGATGAGTCCCGGTGGTTTGTCAACTGTTGAAACAGGAAGAAACATCCTTAACATCATAGGTGCCGATCATCTCCTGCATGAAACAGTCATGTCCTGATTGTGAACTTTACAGAATGTGTTAATATTTTGTGTTCTTTGTGTTTCCAGGCAGCACCCTTGCTGCTGTGTCTGTCACTGCTTTCAATTCTCACCCAGCCTACTCAAGCACTCTGCAGTCGGCTTCCACAATCGCCCTGTCAGCGCTGGGTCACGCAAGGGCCCTGATGCGCTCTCTGATGCATTCACATGTGCATGGCGAGGCTCCCCTTTCACTCTCCACCCCTTATATCAATACAGTGGGCTTCCATGGAGACCCCTCCGACCTCCTCTGCACTCACCACTCCAACCAAAACCAGATCATCCCCTCTCAGTTACCATCAACTGATGAATCTAAGAGTTCTCGCCCATGTCAATTTCATATCCCTACCTCCCTTACTGCTCACCTGAAGAGTCAGAAGTCTGAGGTGGTGCAAGTACTGTTTGGTATGGATGGAGAATTGGGATCCAACCCATTGCTGACTGCAGCCGATCCTCCAATTTCTACCTCGCTGGTTGGCATGGAGCTCACCACACCTCAGGGCCAACCCATACCCATCCAGGATCTGAACCCTGAACAGGCCATACGGGTCACCCTGCCCAACAAGTACCCTGTGGGACAGGATGATAGGGGTGGAGATGGGAGGGTAGGTGAAGCTGGGAACGAGACATGTCTTACTGTAACTCTGCCTGCTGAAGGAAGGTTGAACCTTACAGTCAAAGCTGTGGATAGGCTTGATGAAAATGCGGGTTTATATATCTCCTTCAACTTCAGTCTGGACCCAGGTACGGTAGATTATTTCTCTTTCTCTCTCTGGACCGTTCTTGTTTCCACATCTTAAACTTTTGCACTTTGGTATAATGCTTATGGCCATTTGGTCTTAATGCCGTTTTACTTTATTCCTGCTATGCACCAATGTACAATTTTACAAATGGCAAATTGTATCTATGCAAAACCCCTTTTTGTAGAATGTGATTATATCATCTTTCAAATAAATAACTAAGTTGGGGTGTTTTGTAGAAAACTGAGACAATGCTGTCTGCCATAGTATCTTCTATTATTAGGAGTCGGCAAAGTCATATGTCAAAGTGTGCACATTCCAGTTCCAGTTTTAACCAATATTTCTAGAACAAAATGGATCAAATGACTATGAGTTATGTCTTAGTAACAAATCCAGAGAATTATCAGCAAAATCTGGAGTTCCGTTCAGCTCCATAGAGCATTTTAGTGTCTTTCAGCTCAACTACTGTAAACCACCAGCCCAGAACCAAACGGCAGCAAGACAGTAGAGTTGAATGAGTAAACAATGAGCCGGAGTTTCGGCTCACTATGAAGTGTGATGGGTGATAATGCTCTGTAGTTTCATCACTGTGAGTGACCCCTTTCACAAAGTCCCATAGTTTTTACATTGTGACTCGAGTCATGATTATAAAAATATCGATTAGAGCTGCTTCCATTTTTAGCTTGTAGAAGAAAAGAGCTGATTGCAGTGGAAATTTACTTCCACTGGAGGGCAGCAAAAGCCAGACATTTTCACAGTCAGACGCAGTGGCTTTAAATGTTTATTTATGAAGAACAATTTAAAGAGACAATCTTCCTAAGTGTCTTTAATTAAAAAAGTATTAGAGGGCTGCCCTACCTCAGTTTTAAACTTCAACAAAGTAATGACTGCCCGACTTTACATTTAAGTATGAATACATTTTAAATGAACGACAGTGGCTGACAGTTCTGGGAAGTTTTGGTGTAAACATAACATGTCAGGATGTCATTTGTTAAATAGTGACAGCGAACTATCTTTAACGTCGATAATGCAGCGCCTACATAATTATTTATCAACCTTACTCTATATCTACGTGCATGAATTATAAATAAAAAGATTATCTGCATTATGCATATCTAGGAGCTACTCCAGTGAGCCTGGGACATGTCAAGATAGAAGTGAGCTCTACAGTGCCAGGGACTAATGCATCCCAGGATTCCCTTGTGAGAGAGTGGGCTCTCACTCTCTCCGCTCCGACCACCTCTAAAGAGGAATCCATCTTTCTGTCTCCACTGTGAGTCACCGCTCTTTTCTGTAACTCGGTGCTGTGTTTGAATGCCCACTTTACTGAATAAAGAAGTACTTTAAAGACTTAAAATTCTTCCACAACAGTTTGAACGGAACAGACAAGCCTCTCTCTGTCAACCTTACCTCATCTCTGGTCGACGGCGGCCCTGTCCACGTGTCGGTGTGCGTGTTCAGCTCTCTGTGTCAGTACTATAGTGTGGAGGAGAGGCGTTGGAGCAGTGAGGGTCTACAGCCACTGGAGGGCAGCACACTCCACACAGCACACTGTCTCACCCAGCACCTCACCATGTTTGGGGCCAGTTTGTTTGTTCATCCTGGGGCCGTTGTTCTGCTGCCACCGGTATGTGAGAACACAAAGCACCTATATTTATATTTATAGACATTATTTTTGAATATTCTGACAAATAAATATATCTAATCCATTCCTCCAAAGCAATGTCAGGATTAAAAACAGGTTAGTCACCAACAGGCTCTTCCTCTTCTCCCTCTATCCCTGTGTTATCTGTGCAGTCAGGCGGCCCCTTGCATAACATCGTTGTGGCGATTGTGTGTGCCGTCCTGGTTCTGATTCACCTGCTGGTGGGGCTCATCGCTCATAAACTGGACCACTTGGACAGCTTGAGACTGAGCCAGGTCCCTCTGTGTGGCAGACCAGGGCTGTACCACTATAGAGTGCTGGTTAAGACCGGCTGGAGACGAGGAGCAGGTCAGCCAAGGACAAGTCAATAGGATGTAGAAATGAAAAGTGAAGACAAAAAAATAAATAATAAATGCATTTTCATGTTTTGATTTATGAAACCTCTAATTGTATATGATGGAAATGATTCATGTTGGGGGTTTGACCAATCAGGCACCACGGCACATGTTGGGATCAGTCTGTATGGTGTGAACAAGAGTGGATCTCGGCATCTGCAGAGGGATGGAGCTTTTCAGCGTGGCAGCCTGGACCAGTTTCACCTCGAGACAGATGACAACCTGGGGGAAGTTTGGAAAATTCGCATCTGGCATGATAACACAGGTACATGGAAACTGCTAAGTTAGTTATGTCAGAAACAAGTAAAATTATTTCACCCTCTAGATGGATATTTTGGTTAATTTTTCTAAATGAAGAGCAAATAAAGACAAATTCGGCAATCAAAACCTAGTACAAGATCAAATGTTTCAAATAGTGATGGGTAGACCATTTTTTCCCACAGAATCAGTTCCCTTGAGTTGTAAATGTATCAAAGGTTTTGAGTTTTGGTATGGCGCCCGTTTCTCCATGACACTGTCTTATAGTATAGCTACTGCTGCCTGCCCCATAAAACTTCTCTTCAAAAGCATTTCCAGTCATCTTGTATAAGTTTCCATTAATATTTTACATTTTAATGCGTTGATTCAGCATCCCACTTGTATGTAGGTAGGCTATGTAAGCCCGACATACAATGTTACAGAAATGTGATTTGTCTGCATAAACTTGTCATTCTTCTTAGACAAGTAGCAGACCCACTCCCAGTTTGAGTGAAAGGTTCATTCGACCTCGTTCAGTGTGAGTGTATGAGTGAGTGTAGCTGCCAGGCTCTGGACTGGATTTGATTGGAGTCACTCATTGATGTCCAATGATTCTCATTCATTTCTGTTTCATTTTGTTATGAGCGACGCACCACCGTGAGCAATACCCTGCAATAACACTGGGCATGGGCAGTAAAACTGGGAAATGAGTGAGTGAATTCACGCTTTCATGAGCAGTGACTCAGTGCCGCTAAAACGAGTCGTTCAAAAAGATTTGTTAATTTATCCATCCACAACAAAACAACAGGAGATCAAATCAATGCACTTACTTGATACTATAAGTAGTCTGATATCATATATGTAAATGCAGGTCTGGACCCTTCCTGGTACGTGCAGCATGTGGTGGTCTGGGACCCTCAGACAGATCACATGTTCTTCTTCCTGCTGGAGGACTGGCTCTCTGTGGAGAATCAGAAGAACGGCACTGTGGATAAGGAAGTTCTAGCTTCATGTAAGATAATACATATTACTTTCAACCAACACATTGCAAGAAAAAATCTCACAATGTCTATTTAATGTTATAGTAGAACAAGCTGTTCTACTATCACAAGTCCAGATTTTGGCACAGGGCTAAAAGTTCTGGATTAAATGATTTATCAAACAAACCACATACGTTCATGTGCAACCATTTCCTATTTCCAGTGGTTGGGTGGTGTGTTTTTTCCTGACAACCTCTTTCAACCTTTCAATTTATCCTCGCCAGGTCCTGAGGAGCTTTCTCAGTTCCGACGCGTCTTCACCTCCCAGCTGATGTTTGGGATGGTTGAGCACCACCTGTGGCTGTCGCTGTGGGAGCGTCCTGCTCACAGCCATTTCACCAGGGCTCAGAGGGTTACATGCAGTGCCCTCATGCTGCACCTCTACCTGGCACTGGGGGCTCTGTGGTATGGGGCTGTTGGCACCGTGGGGCACAGGTAAGATAAGTATAGATCAGTATAAACCCCAAATCTTTCATGGTAGGGAATAGATAATACAACAAATGTCAGATTGTTATATCATTTGATTCAATAACACTTCAATAAAGATACAGTCCTTCTAATTACTATAATAATGTCATTTAAACAAAATAAGTAATCACTGACTAAGGTAATATGATATTACATTATCAGTAGTAAATACAATTTAATGTTTTATAGTTATGTCATTATGTCATTTTTTTAGTTATACATAGCAATACATTTGGCCATTTCCAGATATAAACCAGTCTGTGAGTAGGCTCTGCAGAGGTGACAGGATGAAACTGATTTGTGTCCCTTTGCCACAAGTGGTCCAGTGTCAGCCCAGCTGCTGGTTAGCGTGGAGACAGTTGCTGTGGGGATGACTGTTGCTGTACTGGTGTTTCCTGTCCAGTGTTTCCTCTGTTTCCTGTTTAGAAAAGCTCACAGTCAGGTAACTCTAAACAGCTTAAAGCTAATATACTCATATATGCTCATGATACATTTGACTGCTGAAAGAAAATCTGTCCTCATATGACCCATTTGACATATTAATGTGTTCATTCTGCTCTTACACATGCCTTCAGTGCGTTCCAGATTAGAGGTCATTAGAGTGGTGTATTGGACGTACGTCCAAGCTTTGCTTGTCAAACAGTCTTATCTCAGTATGGAAACAGCACAAGTGAGTGTTTTCCATTTATCTGAATGTACACTCAGAAATGCTCAGGCAGCAGGTGTGTGTTTATATGTGTGTGTTATCCAGGTAACCATGGACATGTCAGTTCCTCCTTCTCCCGCTTGTCACTCTGTGGAAATGGACGTCTACCTCGGCCAATCGGAGCTCTCCGGGCATTCCTTCCTGTCTCTGCCAGACTCCTCTGGCCCATTCGGGGACAGTCCTTCATCTGTGAGAGTGCGCACACACACACACACACGTGAACACAAATAATCACTCTTCTCCTCCTGTCTCATTAAGTGTTCTTCTGGCTTCTGCAGTTACTGGACAGCAAGGCATTTGACTCCAGTATTCTGGATTTTTGGGCTGCATCTGGCTTGGCTCCCCAGACAGATGGAGCATGTCAAAAGGAGGGCATAGGGACGTGGCCGTCTTGCGACAGCCTCCTCAATCTACCAGTAGGCCCATGCATCACTATGACGACCCCAGCCCCCAACCTCTGCAAAGCTTCACCTTCTCTTGGCCCGATGCGCCAGCTGAGGAGAAAAAAGGCCCTGATGCAGCTCCGCCTGGCCTCCCCCTCCTTCACTGGCTCACCTCCTGCTCTTCACTCTCCCCTTTGCACATATCCCCTTTCAAAAGACATTCCCAGTTCTCACCAATCTATTGCTGCACTGAACCGAAAGGTCCCTGCCATGAACACCAACTTAGTGCAGGCTCATAACCACAATCTGACACACTTCACACTTCTGACTCTGTCGGGTGAGAAACTGTTCCAATAAACTCAGATATTCAAATATTCACTCAAGGGAAATCAGGGTTTATTAATCATGTACATCTGAAAAATCTGTTGTCGTGTTGTCAAAGAGAGTACTGTATGGTTTCTATAAAGCAAAAATTTAAATTGCAGAAGACAATCCCACATTGCTTATAACTAATAAGAGTATAAGAGAGGGATGGGTCCTCAGATGTGGATAGACAGAGTGTGAACTAGTCTGATCATGTATTTTTGTACTCGATGCCAGAGGAGGATCTTCTGATGTCCATTGCAGCAGCAGAGGAAACAGCAGATATAACTAACAGCAACTCAGACAGCGGCCGTGATTCCCCCAGAACCACCTCCTCACTCTCAAACACGTAAGGACTGCTTCTGTGAATTGCAAACGCCATTACATGCATTTCTGTGTTTCTTACAATATTGTTAGCAACACACTGTAATTACTAGTCTTTTGCTTTTATAGGCAGAGCACCTCGTGTAGCAGCTGGTCAGAGCGGAGTGAGAATAAGTCCCTGTATGGTGCAGAGATCCACAAGCTAAATGCACAGTCCTGTCCCCCCCTGTATGGGGCAGGACTCTACAAGTGTCCCTCTGTGTTATCTGTAGACTCGGTGGCCAGCACCTTCCTGCCGACCCCTTCACCTGACTCCACATGCTCCTCCTCCACCACACGCATAGGTACTACTACTCCACAATCTTTCCATGTGTCCCCTGGCAACTGCATAATCCCCCTGGGGTGCAGTTACTGGTTGGGAATCACTATACTACCCAATTTCTATTCACATCTGGTGATCTGGTTGTGACTGGTGTTTGAGATATCTGTTGCTCATCCTAGGCGTTGCTCGAGGTCAACCCAGCTGGCTGCTTCCTCCCTGGGCAGTGTGTGTGATTTACCCCCTGGTGGCTGTGCTGCTAGGAGCCTGCCTGGCTGTGGTCGGACTCTACGGCAGCTTTTTTTCCAGAACAGTAGTCCTCATGTGGATGGTATCAGCTCTCTCTGCCTTTCTTACCTCTGCTCTGCTGCTGGAACCTCTCAAGGTGGGTTCAAACATGTCATCTCATTAACTCACTTCATAGATCTTTAGGATCCTTTGATTTGCAGTCTCCATCTTCCTTGTTCAGGTGTTTGTACAGACCTTGATCTACACAGCACTGTGGAGGCCTGTGGATCCAGAGGTGGAGGATCAGCTGGCTCAGGAGACCACTGTTGTGAGGGCGTTTGGAGAGCATGGTGGGAAGGTTCGGCCACCATGTGGCTACGGGCTGCTTCAGGCTAAAGAGGAGGCCCGTAAAGTCAGAGCTCTGCGATCACTAATGAGGGTAAAACTAAACTTTAAAATTTTGTTACAATTTGTTTTCAGAAGCATCTAATTTTTTTGTTGATAAACTGAATCTTTTCTGTAGCACTGTGTGTGCCAGCTGTTATTTCTGTTGCTGGTGCTGATGGTGAACTACCAGGACAGTGTAGAGCAGAGGCAGGGCAGGCTGCTGCACTCCGCTGTCAGACGCCGTCTTCACACAGCACCCTCGGGGGTCCCTAACCTCACCTCACTCAGAGAGTAAGGGCAGCACTCAGCTTCCTGCTGTCAAAACACTACACCATACCTAATGCAGACACACACTGTATAATCTGGGGAAGCAGCACTAAAATGTAATTCTAGTTCAGCCAGAAGTGAAGAAACACATAATTGCTTTAAAAATTATTCAACATGAATGATTTCATTATTTCATGCAGTCAACTTATTTTTAGCCTGCTGTCATCCGAAAAATATAGTACAGCCTCAATTCCGCCATGGTGACACATTTGACTAATGACTGATTACTCTTTAGAGTTTAACTTTCAGTCTAATTGTCAGGACAAAAAAGAATATCTGTAGAGAAAAAAAGCTTAACACTGATGTTGCATCTCATTCATCTGCTTTTTTGCACACATACACACACAATCCCAAGCTTACTGTATATCGATTCTCTCTTCATCCAGCTGGTCAGAAGCAGAGCAGTGGATCATCCACACCTTAGTGCCACACCTACACCAAAACCCTACACTGCGCCTTGTCGGATTGCCACGGCTGCAGTACACACATACTCTCAGTCCTCTGGCAAGTGTCTTCCTGGGAGATAGCAGTGTAACAACACAGCAGCTCCTAGCTGACCTGCACATGGCAGACTGGAGCAAGAAACAGTAAGTGGATTTGTTACGGCCAGATGACTGCATCTCCAAGACATGCTGAGTGTGTACTTATTAATGCACATTCATTCTTCAGTTGCTGAGTCCTCTGAGACCAAGAAAATATAGAATTATTCTTTGGAAAATAATATAGCGTGCCACCCCATTAAAACTTTCCAAAAAGCAAAACAATGCAACTTGTTTTTCCTCTGGGAACACATGCAGCAGTAAGAGATGATTTCTCATGTAGATTACAAAACTGTTTTGCATATTTTGCATGAGACACTGAATCTTCTGATGTGATTTTTTTTGGTATAGTATCAAACTGATTTTTTTTTGTATCGTATTAATTGTAATGAAGAAATCTACAGTACTGATTTAAATTGTATGCTTTCTAATTCTAATAAATGCTTTTCTTCCCCTTTTCATCGCAGGTTTAAAACTCTTTCTTTCGACTTCACACACTACCACAGAGAGTCTGGTTTATTTGTGTGTGTGTCCATACAACTAGAGTGGGCCCAGACACAGAGAGTCATCCCCTTTCTCTACATCCATCCACTCCTCATCCCTTCATCCTTCTCTGGACTGGATCTGCAAGTGGCACTTACGGTAACAAACACTTGCAATCCTTTCAAATCGACGAAGAATAGAAATAAAGAGTAATACATATTCTCAAGCAAATTATTAAAAATTAAGTTCAGTGACAAAATCCACTTGCTTTATCCTGCAGGCTTTCCTTCTCATCTCTGCTTTCCTAATCTTGTTCGGAGAACTGTGGTCTGTGCCTACTGAGCGTGCCCAGTATCTGCGTCAATTCAAACACTGGCTCCAGCTTCTCCTGGCCTTGTTGTCCTTGGCAACGGCTATCCTGCAGCTCTGCTTCCTGGCCCAGGGCACTTCCTGTGTTTCCGAAGTAAGAAACAAAAAAAGTGTACGTAAAACTGTTCAGGCCCTTGTTATATGTTAGCAAATTTGATCTGGAGTGACGGTAGTTTGATAACCTACATCTAAAAAGTTAGTGTCAGTGCTTCACTTGTTCCCTTGTCCATGTAGTTCAAATTAGCAGAGTTCAAGGCAAATGCTTAAGCCCCTACAGTACATGTACATACAACCCTAACCCTAGATTCATTCATTATAACTTCACAGAAAAGTTGACTATTCTATGTGTCGCATTGATGACCTTACTACAACTTGCATGTACCATTCAGCTTCAGTCCCACCCAGACAACTTCATCAGCTTCCACAGTGCTGCCCTCCTGTCACAGAGGTGTTCTCAGTGTGCGGCTATCCTGCTCACACTACTTGTTCTAAAGGTAATGAGAGCTCTGCTTCATCAGTACACAACTATGTATATCGGTCCACAGTTTCCCACTCTATTTGCAGAGTCTACTAATTTCATTACTGCATGTTTCAGCTGCTGGGAACCTTGAAGTTTGTACGGAGGTGGGTGGTGTTAGGCAGAGTGCTGCAGAGAGCCTGGAGGGAGATGTGGGCTCTGACTGTCCTACTGCTGTTACTGCTGCTGCTCTGCACTCACCTTGGAAACACGGTACGAGAAGAACAGTGGAATGGAATATTTATAAAGAAGAAATGTATTTGATTGGCCTCTGTCTTTGTTTCAGCTCTTCTCCCATTCAGTAGAAGGTTTCCTGTCACTACGTCAGACCGGTGTCTCCGTGCTGTCCATCCTGCGTGGCCAGGTGGCTCTCCAAAAACTATGCAGGGTCCACCCAGTCCTGGGCCCTCTCTATGGGTTACTACTGATGGGGGGAGGTGTTTGGCTCTTGGCAAGACTCTGTGGAGCTGTTCTCATCCATACATACAGGTACACAATGTTCCATGTTACACAATATTACCTGTAGTATGGTGGTGAAGATATGAGGATAAAAATCCCTGCACTGCAATGTCAAAAGTTTGATGTAACAAGAACTTCCAGTGTCCATCCTTTTGTAACATGACAACTTCCTAGCTGCACTAAAATCTTGGAAGTTTGGTGTGTAAATTTTGCAGTAGTGAACCAGGACAATGTGCATATGCAAAAAGCATTTTAGTCTGGCGGTGTGGCCCTGCTCATGTGATGCTCTGGAACAAGTCTAAGCAAGCTTGACACAGACTGTCCCTGAGCTCACAAACCCCCTTTCAAAATTCATGTACAAGTAGATGTTAATACAGGATAGATACAGGAAGTGGCTAGGAAGGTGGAGGGAGTTCAGTTTCTGAAAGCTGGCAGCAGTGTAGCAGCAGGGATGCAGAGCTCAGCATTGTTGTCTGCATACTGAATGAGCGCTAAATGTTTATATGGAGCCTATTGTCAGAAATGGGTCATGGGCGTACATGATTGGAGGGTGTATGGAACATGTGACTATATTGTGACTTTTGTGCCTGCCTGAACTATTCATGAAGGTGGAGTGACTTAAGTACTTAAAAGGTGTCTAAGCAAGAGGACGTATATAGTTTTTCAGATGTAGAGGAAAGTCAAGTGTACAGCCATGCAAGTGGCTCTATAAGGCTGTAAATGTTAATATTCTCATATTTAGCAAGTATATTGTTTACCATGTTGACCAGCTTACTTTAGTATGCTAACATTGGCTAATAAGCACTAAACACAAAAGACAGCTAAGGCTATTGGGAACATCAGTAGTTTTGCAGGTATTTGGTCATAAAACAATTGGACATATTCATTTGATTTGATTTTGATCTGATGGGGGTGTTATGTGAAAGAAGAGGTCACCAAAGTGATTGCAATTCATCCTTGTACAAAAAAAAGTGTTATCATAATTTTGCCAATGAACATGCTTAATTGAAAGTGAGATTGCTACTAACACTACAAATTTCCCCCTAGCAGAGTGCCAACAAGGATTTTTATGGGTAAATATTGCATTAAGTAGGTCTCATTGCTAACTTTTTCTGTGACTTCAAGGACAGAGCAGGCTGAACTGTACAGTCCAACCATTGAACCTCAGGACTATGAGATGGTGGAATTCTTTATCAAGAGACTCAAACTGTGGATGGGACTCACCAAAGCTAAAGAGGTAGATAGTGCATTAGTTGTGGAGTAAATTAAACTTGCAAAGTCAGTACATGTTGATGTTGATTCCACATATTTCGTTTCCTTTCTAGTTCAGGCACAGGGTGAAGTTCCAAGGTATGGACATCCCTCCTTCCAGGTCCTCACAGCACTCCCGTCTCTCCACTCTGTCTTCCACCCTCCACTCTTCACACTCTCCTTCCTTATCCCCCTCATTTTCATCCCCCTGTCCCTTGTCCTCGGCTCTTTCTGTGAGGTCTGAGGACTCGTCAGTGTCCGAGCCTGGGTTTGACGTCCAACCCCACCTGGACCGCCTTCTGCCCTGTGTCAGTGCACTGCTGTCTCATTTTGATCAGGTCAACCAGATTACTGATGACGTTCACAACCTGGAAATGAAACTGGAAGAGGCTCAGACAAGAAGAAGGAAGAGGTGGATCAGTAACGAGGACAAAGGTGCAGAAAGATTTAGAGAGTCAGCAAAGCCAAAGGAACTGGAAGAAGAAGAAAGGCAAACAGGAGACGTTAGACACAGGAAAACAGGTTTTCTTTACCCCAAGCCACGAGTCTCCCTTCCATCATCATTTTCTTTTACTCCCTCCGCACTTCACAATTCTGCTGCATCAAGCTGCATCTTTCCCCGTACACGTAGGACCTACTCTGAGTCTGAATCAGTACCATTCCAGCCTCAAGCATCTAGCAACAACCGTACTTCTGAAACAGCCATGCTTGCTTCTGGGATCAATGGTTTATATCCTGCAGGTTCTCCTGGATTTGGAAGGCTTCCCAGGAGAAGAGCTTGGCATTCTGGGAGCTCTCACTCAGCTGATGCAGCTCAGAGGATCTTACTGACCCAAGGGGGGGTTGCTCCATGTTGCTCCCATTTTGCATTCACTAATACCAGACCCAGGAGTGAAGAAGGGTTAAGAGGATATATCAGTGATGGAGTCCCTGTGAAAAGGAAGGCTTGGATCCTTGAAGGATCAGAGACTGAGCAAGACTAACCATGTGTTTACACTGGAAATTATATTAGTTGACAGATCCTATTCTCACTGTGTAGAGGCTCTGACTAGATCTCTGTAATGGTGCAGCTACAAAGTGCCTCTGCTACATTGTTTCAGACCAGTCTGGCAAGTCTCACAACTTCATGGAAGTACAATCCTGACTGGAGTACCATTTAAGATATTGCTCCATAAAACAAGACTAGTCGAGGGCTTACCATAGACACCGTTTATGGACTGTAATGGAGAATCTTCTTCTTCCAAAGAAAAACAACTAGGAAACTTTGAGTAGCAGTTCACTTTTGAATTCTTTGCTAACTATTTCACACAGAAAAGAAGATTTTAACACACCACACTTCAACATAAGTCATTCATTGAATCAGTCCTAATGTTGCTTCATTAGTGTATGAGATCATTCAAAGTAAATGTCTTAGATGCTAAATTTAGATGCTTATGTAAGCCAAAATGCCTGTTGAACATAGATTTCAGACATTTGTAAGCCAGGTCCTTATTCTATGACCCAAGTTCTCACTTTTGTCTAATTGTGTGTATATAATATTGTTCCCTACCGTATTACATGCCTGTAAATATAATTACATACAGCTGATATCCTTTTGTAAGAGACTTTGGATGTTTTACTCTTCAGAAAAATAAAGACAAGTGACCATTATGGTCTGACAATGGTATAAAGTTTCATTTAGTAAAACATTTTATTTATAACAGGAAAACTGTGTCCTGCTATAACACTACTGTGTAAACTGTGTTTTCATTAATGTGTTTAGTTTAAATGATAACACAGCTCTATGAATATTTTATCAACAGTAATTCATATTATTTCCTATCTAAAGGAAAATACTTTGAGATTAAAATAGCAACAAACACTGTTATCACCTTTTGACTTTGTGAAGAGAACCAACTATTTATTTTGCTGGTCAGCAGCTTCAACGTGAACACAAATATTATACTATACTGCAGTTATACAGTGTTCCTTCTTTTAATCACATAATTGACATTGTCTTGAGGTCAACTGTTATTGACTGATTGTCCTTGTTACTTATCTTCACTTATCACATGTGTGTGTACATTGCCTTATCAATGTGCAACAGTAAAATGTCAGTCCACCTGTATAAAAGATGATGCATGACTGTCTGTAGGCACTCAAGTTTTGGAGTCTGCAGGTGAGTATACTACAGGATCATATATTTACTGTATTATTATTGCCGTTTTTCAGTTTGAATGCTTCTGTAATGTGACCAACCTTATGACACAAGCTTGATTCTGTTTGACTGAAATTCATTTTCTTACACAGTTGACAGCAAAGCCGTGACAATGAAGTGGGTCTTTGTTGTGTGTGCCATGGTGGCACTGTCTGAGTGCCTCATTCAGTAAGTCAGCCTTAACACTCTAAAACATTCCTGTACTGATTTACCTACTACTACCTAAATTCATTAGCTCCTCTGAAATAACTGGAGACCTATGATATATATATTTAAATGAGCAGGTGTATGTACTGTGCTCAAGAGTAAATCAGTATTTAAGTGAAGGTAGCTGAGTCAGGAGAATGTCTCCATCATGTTTCCATCATGTTTTCTCATGTAAGAGTAGTGAGAAGTTTAAGAGGAAAAACGCATGAGCAAAAACCTCTTTACAGGTCAATAAAAGACATACAAAAATAAGCTCCTTTGGTTAATCCTAGGGTCCCTCTGGAGAAGGGTAAGACAGCCAGGGAGTTCCTGGAGGAGCAAGGTCTGTGGGAGGAGTACAGGTTGAAGTACCCATACAACCCCATGGCCAAGTTTGACGACCGCTTTGCCGTGGGGAAGGAGCCCATGACCAACGATGCTGATGTGAGTAACAGCTGCTAAAGCTTAAACAGAAAGATGAATAGAAGCTTGTTTTACTGTTTTTTGGTAACTGAATGATCTCTGTGTCTCCTCTTCATCTACAGCTGGCTTACTATGGAATCATCTCCATTGGAACTCCTCCTCAGTCCTTCAAGGTCGTCTTTGACACTGGCTCATCCAACCTGTGGGTGCCCTCCATCTACTGCAACAGCCCAGCCTGCAGTACGTAAAACTATACATGCATATCAACCACACATGTAGCAGACAGATGTTAGGTGACTCGACTGAGATTTAGTAACCATCTTAAACATAAACAACTTTTTCATGTGTACCTTCCTAGATAACCATGACAAGTTTAACCCTGGACTTAGCAGCACCTACAAACGCAATGGCAGTCCTCTCAGTATCCAGTATGGTACTGGCAGCATGACTGGGTTCCTTGGATACGACACTGTGACGGTGAGAAATAAAAGCATATAGAGTCACTTATTTATAGTTCTTAGACGCTGATTATTACTTTTTTGTCACTGTGTTCCTTCCTTTTGTCTTGCATGGACATATTCATGTGTGTTGTGACTAGAAATGTCATTATTCTACAAAAAAACAAATGAAGAAGATATTCAGATATTCCAGATTGCTACTGGAGAGATTCAAAACTTGAGACTGATTTAAAGCTCTTTGTGTTTGTCAGGTGGGTGGGCTCGCTGTGAGAAACCAGATCTTCGGCATGAGTCAGTCTGAGGCTCCCTTCATGCAGTACATGCGTGCTGATGGTATCCTGGGCCTGGCATACCCACGCCTGTCTGCTTCCGGCGCTACACCCGTCTTCGATAACATGATGAAGGAAGGCCTGGTCAACCAGGACCTCTTCTCTGTTTACCTGAGCTCGTAAGGACACCCTTGGCTTTCCAGTATCCTACCCAGAAGGGAAATATGTCTGGACATTAAACTGTTACTATACAAATGTTTACTTAAACTGAGCCAGCAGCTGATTTCTAATATGTTTAGTAAGTTCTTGCTTTCCTTTGTAGTAACTCTCAGCAAGGCAGTGTGGTGACCTTTGGTGGTGTTGACCCCAACCACTATTATGGTTCCATCACTTGGATTCCCCTCTCCAATGAGCTGTACTGGCAGATCACAGTGGACAGGTAACGCCACAGACACAGCATCACAGGTCCTCCAAAATGTATCCAATCCAAACTGATATCGTAGTCAAAGGTTTTTTATATCTGTCTGAGACATGCTGTGCTGTGTGTCCCTTTCAGTGTTACCGTCAATGGTCAGGTTGTGGCTTGCAATGGTGGTTGCCAGGCTATTGTGGACACTGGTACCTCTCTGGTCGTTGGACCTCAGAGCAGCATCAGCAACATCAACAGTATGGTGGGAGCTAGCAGCCAGAATGGAGACGTAAGTAGTTTACGTTGAGTAAAATACAACTTAACTAAGTTGGAAATTTAACAATAGAACCAAACTTTGATGTTCTTTCTTTCTTCTGCTCTCAGTATGTTGTCAGCTGCAATAACATTGCCCAAATGCCAGCTGTGACCTTCCACATCCACGGACAGGAATTCACCCTCCCTGCCTCTGCCTACGTCCGTCAGGTAAGTGTTTGGTTCCCTGGCAGACTTTGTATTTTTCCATCTTACTATACTTCCCTTCCATTTGACATTCGTCTCCTAAATCCCTCCCACAGTCTCAGTACTATGGCTGCCGTACTGGCTTTGGCAACGGAGGTGACAGCTTGTGGATCCTGGGTGATGTCTTCATCAGACAGTACTATTCCATCTTCAGCAGAGCCCAGAATATGGTGGGTCTGGCCATGGCTAGATAATCAACCTGAAGTCACCTTGCCCAAGAGCCTTGCAACAATCATGCATGCATCTTAGTGTGATAGTAGGATTTCAGTGCAACTGTAATGATGTGTAACACCAAAGACTTTCCCTTGTTCTATAAATGATTGCATTTCTTTAAATCCAATAAAAACAGTTAAATAAATTCCACTGTTCACTGACTCTAAATCTGTGTCAATGGTAAGCTACAGTAACATCTCATTAAGGATGGCAACCCAACGTAAGACACCCGTTGATACAAAGGCAGTACATACAAACACACAACAGAACAACTTAATGTAGTAGATGTTTGTACATACTGTATGTTAAAGCATGTGTTACATATTGATTAGCATACTTAAGGTGAGTCCATGTAATTTAAGTGTCAATTATTGGAGAATGGTAAATGCTAAAACATAGTGTAAAATGGCAGCGTAGGTAAAGATCCAGTGTGCAACATTTAGGAGGATCTATTGGCAGAAATGCAATATAATATTCATAAGTATGTTTTCATCAGTGTATAATCACCCAAAAATAAGAATTGTTGTGTTTTCATTATCTTAAAATAAGACATTTTTTTTCTACAGACGCCACAGGTTGCCTTCTGTGGTTGTTTATAAAAGGGAGTCCCACTGGCTGGCATCTGGTGGTCCCTGCTGAGTAAGCAGTGTACTTCCTGGTCATATGCTGATATAGTTTTGTAAGAGACTGTGTATATTTTACTCTACAGACGAATAAGGACAAGTGACCATATGGTCTAAGTGATGTGCATGTTTCATTTTATTTATGACTGAAAATAGTGTTCTACTATATAATGACTCTGTGCGCACTTGTGTTATCAATGTGTTTAGTTGAAATGATAACACAGCTCTATGAATATTTTATCAGTGGTAATTCATATTATTACCTATCTAAAGGAAAATATCTTGATAAAAGAGTAAAACAAGATAACAGCATCAAACACTGTAAGATAGGTGTTGCCAGAG